GAATCAGGGGACCTTTTCTTCCAGCAACAGCTGCTTCTTCTTCCCTGTCTCTTTTCCCTTCCTGCCTGCTGAGCTCTCCTTTTACAGCTTCTTCTCCGTCCCTTTCTCTTTCCTTTTTTCTTTTTTTCCCTTTCCCGCCAAAACCACCTCCTTTTATATCCTCTTCTCTCCCCCCCCCCATTTTTCTTCAGTTCACCTCCAGCTACGCGCTGCTTCTGGAAGCACCAATCAGATGGAGCCAATCAGATGGAGTCCTGCCGGGGCTCCTGGGGCTTCTGCTGAGCCCCAACAGTCCTGAAGCTCCAGTTGCCTCTCCCTCAGGCTTGGGTCACTTCAGCTCATTCCCCCCACCCCATTACACTTGTCCAGGAGGGTGGGGAGGGTGAAGCAGCCCCATGCGCCCCGCACCCACTTACCAGGCCTCCCATAAATCAACACTTGTCTCTCCCCACTGGCCCACTTCTTCTGCAGTGTCCCCCGGCCTGCATTTCTCAGTCAGAGGCCTTTCCAGAAGGCCTCTGACTGCAAAATGCAGGCCAGAGCTCCATTCTCAGCTGCAGAATAAAGATGCTCTTTCGGCCGTGGAAGAAGTTGGCCGGCTGAGTGGGGCTGTTGGTGCCGCTGCTGCGACCTGAGTGGAAAAGATACCCCTGAAAATAAGATCTGGTGCTTCTTTTGGAGAAAAAAAAATAAGACTGGCTTTTATTTTTGGGGAAACTTGGTAGTCCTTGACTTAATTGATTTAGTGACCGTTCAAAGTTACAATGGCACTGAAAAGAGCGACTTATGACCATTTTTCATAGTTAAGACCATTGTAGCATCCCCATGGTCACATGATCAAAATTCAGACATTTGGCAACTGACTCATATTTATAGTTGCAGTGTCCTGGGGTCATGTGATCCCATTTTGTGAACTTCTGACAAACAAAGTCAATGGGGAAGCCAGGTTCACTTAACAACAGTTTGATAAATTTAACAACTGCAGTGATTCACTTAACAACTGTGGCAAGAAAAGTCGTAAAATGGGGTAAACTCACAAATGTTTCACTTAGCAACAGTAATTTTGGGCTCAATTGTCGTAAGTCGAGGACAATCTGTATTGACAATTCCCCAAGTTTCATTTTGTCTGCAAATCTGATGAGTTCTTTTTCTATTGAGAGAATTGGGTCTAATACAGAGTCTTGAAGTACTCCACTGCATGCCTTTCTCCATGTAGATGTAATTCCATTGATGACTACATGTTGAGTGCAATTGGTCAGCTAGTTATGATTCCCTCTGGTGGTGATGCTGTCTATCCCACCTTGTTTTATCTTACGAAGAAATAAACTTATTGTCTTTTAGTAGAGATATTCTCGATTTACGGCCAAAATTGAGCCCAGACTTTTGCCCCATTTTACAACCTTTCTTGCTACACCTGTTAAGTAAATCACTGCAGTTATTAAGTTAGTAACATGGTTGTTAAGTGAATCTGGCTTCCCCATTGACTTTGCTTGTCAGAAGGTTGCAAAAGGTGATCACATGACTCTGGTACACTGCAGTCATCATAAATATGAGGCAATTGTCAAGCATCTGAACTTTGATCACATGACCATGGAGATGCTGCAACAATCATAAGTTGAAAAATGATTATAAGTCACTTTTTTCCGTGCTATTGTAACTTTGACCGATCACTAAATGAACTGTTGTAAGTTGAGGACTACCTGTACTAGGTTTCTTTCCTTTGATTACTGTTTCCACCAATTTGCCTGCAGCAGAGGTTAAGATCACTGGCCTTTACTTTCCTGAACGTCTCCCAGCACCTCTGTGAAATGTTGTCACATGGACTCCATTATAGGCATTGATTTGGTAGAAAGGGGGTGAGAGTTCTTTGGGTTTTGCATTTGGGGTTTTATTTCTGTAAGCTGAACCAGTGTCACTGTGAGTGAACGAGGCGGTCATATAAATTTTCTTAATAAATAAAGAAAGAAATCTTTTTCAATGGAAAAACAAGCTGCATATTTTCCCCAAGAAGTCAGCATATTTGAGTTTTTGATAAATTCTCATTAGACACAGACACCCAAACACCTAATATTTCTGAATTCTTTATTGGGATTCATTTGGGAGTCAGTCACTAAAAGATTAATCAATTACATTTTGTTGATTACCCTAGAAGTTAGATCTTTCTGTGCTTGTATTTAATTGAAGGACTCTTTTGACTCTGACTTTTCCAGAACTTCTTCTCATCTTTCTTATCTTCTCCTCTTCTCATCTTTTCTACTGCCTTTCCCTATTGGTATCTATGATTATCACTTGTTGTATCTTATGTTTAATTATTGCAACTATGATCAGTGATATATGACCTATCACAGTGATGGCGAACCTTTTAGAGACCAAGTGCTCAAAAACTGGCCCCTCCCCCACCCCGCCCCCACCCCTGCCTGTCCACAGGGCCATTCACCGCCTCCAGGGCCTGCTGCAGATTGCCCAGGCAGCCCAGCAGTACCATGGCGGCCACGCCCTCTGCCTGTGCCCCGCAGCATCAACTGTATGCGATGGGGCGTGACAGAGTCTTGTCCACGCTGCCTACCTGCCATGTCCTTGGCTGCGCTGCTCCGTGTGGGCCATGCTCGGGGGCGACTCTCCTCCAGGGGAGCTGCTGGTGAGGGGGTTGCGGGGGGGAGGCAAGGCTGGGGCAATGGCATGTGTGCCCACAGAGAGGATTCCGAGTGCCGCCTCTGGCACCTGTGCCATAGGTTCGCCACCACTGACCTATCACTTTGTTGTTTGTATGTACATTGACAGCTTACGCACCAGAGACAAATTCCTTCTGTGTCCAATCACACTTGGCCAATAAGGAATTCTATCTATCTATCTTTTCCAGAATAGCATATTGCATATACAGGTCCATTTGCATGGAGTCCATTCTAGGGCTGATGTACCTAAAACTGTTGTTACTTGGAGGCTGCTTCATTTTATTTTAAGAGCAATCATCTCCACAGGTTGGGGTGTAACCCAAAATTGACCCTGAACATTCTCTGCTGGAATCCTGAGAATGAGTGGAGTGGTCATATCAATAACTACACATAGAATAATTTAAAATGCCCCGTATGTTATAATCATTTGTAAATGCAGGCAGGCAACCCTTATTATCTTGCTAACAACTTGGACAGATAAACAAAGCTGGGGGGGGGGGGTTGCATGCTCATGCACGGACAAACATTAGCAAGTCTGGCTGTAAGTGACTATAATTTTTATGTTAGTGCTGAGCTAGTACTTTAATGGCAGGCTGAGTTATGACAAAAGATGGCAAGATCCAATTAAATTAAATGCAGCTTAGTAATATAGAAAATTATGCAATTGTTTGCAAATGGCATTGGCTCCAGCTAGGGAGAATCAATAGGATAATAAAGGGCTGATTGACATGAGTATTTTTGCAAATTACTATTATTGTCCTTTTTTGACAATCTGCTGAGGAAATACCAGGTTACTTGTTTAGCTTTGCTTTAATCTTTGGGTCCAATGTATCCATTTTTTGAGAAAGGAAAAAGATATAAATACCAGCAGGTTCCCATGAAAGCTATCATTTTTTTGGAGGGGGGTTTTGTAAATTTTCCATGTCAGTGATATGGACTCCACTGTGGCGTTTTTCTTGATATTTCTTATTTTGGCTTGGGGGAAAAAAAGTGAGAGAAGTTGAAGGAAAGTGCCAACCTTCCAGCCCATGTAGCAGCTAGGAAGCCTGTAAGAAGCAACCCTCACCATCCTGACTGAATGTTGCCAATGTACAATAGTGACTGTACTGTAACTGATTGGAAGAAGGAATGATTGGGTTGCGTCTTATTGCAAAGTAAATGTTGGGTTATAGCTACCACACTATGGCCGTTATGAGATTTAAAATATGTCTGTAAAATAAAAATGCCTAACCAGACTGCTTCAAAGTTAAGAGTTAGTCTCCTTGGATGCCTCTGGGTCTTAAAAAGCCCTTCACCATCAAGTGGTCTGAACTACCAAACTAGGAAGAGAGACAGACAGAGCTGTGGTGAGTTATGCATGTGGAGTTACCCAGGTTTTCTGGAAAGGCTGAATATGAATGTATGGGAAAGAGAAGCCCAGTTGATCCTTTGAAAGTGAGATCCTGAAAGAAAAATGAAAAATGAGTGACTGGGATGTATGTTTCCAAAATGATCCTAGAGAAGAAAATGAAATGCAAAATTGGAATGGTTACATTCTAAAGCTCAGACTCCATTTCTGTATTTATTTTCAGGTTGAATTACTTGAATTTTAATGTTATCAGTTTGCTTTTCTGTGGCTTCTGTTAAAATGGAAAAATGATTTGAAATGGCTTCCTTGCTCAGAAGCTATATACTCTCAGTTGAAACCCCTTCTCAAATCATAGCAATCAAGATGGGAAAGCTCCAATTTTTGGGTAAAACCATCTTCCATCTTCCCAAGTCAGCCTATTGGCCTCAGATAAGCCACCTCCAGTGCTTCCCTTGGCAGTGTGAACTGTACTTGTAGGCATGGCTGGGCATTTTAAAAGATTAACCATGGATGTCTTGATGTAAGAGCAGCTGTATGTTTTGGATGGTCTTCAGGTAGAGCTGGGATGATTGGAGATAAGGATAAACAATATGTCTGGTTTTTGTATTGTATCATTTAAAGCAGCTTCCAACTGGCTTTCAGTTTCTGTGATACAATCATGAGTAGTAATTTTTAGATTTAGCTTGTTAGGGGACGAAACTATAGACCAGTGTTTCTCAACCTTGACAATTTTAAGGCATGTGGACTTCAACTCCCAGAATTCCACAGCCAGCATTGCTGGCTGTGGAATTCTGGGAGTTGAAGTCCACATGCCTTAAAATTGTCAAGGTTGAGAAACACTGCTATAGATATTGGTTCAGCTTTCATTATGAATTTCCACAGCTCTTAGTAACACTTTGATTTACTTTTCTTCTCAATATTATCCCAATGGTTCAAAATTAAACTTCCATTTTTATCATCAGCTTATCTTTTCTTTTTAGATAACCTGTGGAATGACCAAAATATAGAAGGAGAGCTCGATCTTCCTTCAGGATGGAGGAAAATCCATGACTCTTCTGGTTCTTACTACTGGCATGTGCCCACAGGAACCACTCAGTGGCAACACCCTTCTCGTACTTCTAGTCTGGGTCATGCTGGGGAAGCTGCATTTCCAGAAACGGTACTCTTTGACATGCTATCAGTTCTATTACTATTTACTAGTCCTATTACTAGTCCTATTTCTATCGGTCCTATTACTATAAACTGGTTATGGCATATGTCACACATGTCACAAATGACACGCCATGTCGTTTTTGGTGACATGCCTGGGGCTGCATAAGAAGGTGGTGTACTGTTCTGCAGCCTCTGCAGCCTCTGGAGCCTCCAAAAAGGACCTGCCTCAGCTAAGCCTCCCAAGAAAGCAGAACTCTTGAAACAGGTATTGTCTTCAAAGAAACCTTTATTAGGGACTAGTGATAGCAAGCAAAACAAGGCCAGATCTGAGAAAAACCCGCGCAAGCAGTATATCAAAAGCAGTATTCATAACTCCTCCCCCCAGGGTCCCAGGGTCCATTTGAATCCCAGCCAATCCAGAGGTGGCATATTGTTTTAGTAACTGGCGCTTTCTGCGAGCCCTCTCTTAGATAAGGGTGATGTTATTCGGCTGCATTCCTTCTCCTAGGGAAGGGGCAAAGTGGCAAGACAGTGCAAAGCACCCCCAAAGCATCCCCCCTCCCAACAGAATGGCAGGCCCCAAGAAATGGTTACAAAAGCATGTATACTATAGGAAAAGAAGCAATACATTTCTTTGGGGATCTGACAGTGTGAGAACGGGGAGTATTTTCCCACTCCTTTTGGAGGCTGCAAGACAATCATCATCACTGTTATAAACCATATCATCATTCCCAGGGCTTTTTTTCTCACAGAACGGCCAGAACGGAGTTCCAGCACCTTATTTGGATGGAACCTTGTAGGGTAGGCAAGGCGGGTTGTATGATGTGTGTGAGTTCCGGCACCTTTTTTTTTAGAAAAAAAGCACTGATCATTCCACTCTGATTGGGTTTACAGCAGCATGTGGTTTACTTGAACTGGGACTAGTTGTACTGGATAATCTCACGTATTGTGGTTTGTAAATTACGAGTTATTAGTTAATGTTATGTGTGAACCCAACCATTTTGACTTACTCGATAAACTGTTAAAACAAACGATAGCTTAGGACTGCTTGTATATCAGCCCTAAGCTATGGTTTGTTGTTCACCAGTGGGGACTGATTCCACCCTAGGTCTGACCTTTTGTTGATGTGTATCAATAAATACAAACAGAAATCTTTTACAGTGGATAGAAATTTGAAATATTACGGAAAATAGCACATTAATTCAGCTCTCCCAATGGTTCTGCATGATCTCCTTTTTTTCCTAATGAGAAAGAAAGAGATTTCTGGTTTTCAAAGCCAAAATCATCTATCATCTTGAGGGCATAACCTGAGTAGAGCAATTCAATCACAGTTCAAAACTATGTTCAAAAGAAATAGAATTATTATTTTAATTTCATTTGATTATATTTGTTTGACCCATTACATTTTCTGTTATGGAAAGGAGTGGGATGGGATGGGATGGAATAGATTAGTACAGAACAGAATTCTTTATTTGGCCAAGTATGATTAAACACACAAGGAATTTGTCTCCGGTGCAGAAGTTCTCAGTGTACATGCAAAGCAACAGAATAATAATCTCAATCATCATAATAATACCAATAAGAGGGGTAATGCAGTTCCCATTACAGGTAGTCCTTGACTTAATGAAGGGTTGCTTTGTGACTGTTCAAAATGGTGAGAAATGTAAGGTCCTGCATTTAGACAGGAAAAATCAAATGCACAGGTATGGAATAGTCAGATCTTGCTTAACCGTAGTAACTATGAGAGGGATGTGGGTGTCTTAGTGAACCACTGCTTAAGTAACAGCCATGCAGTCCTAGGCTGCATTAATCAAAGGACAGCATCAAGATTACAGGAAGTGATAGTACCACTTTATACAGTACTTGTGAGGCGACACTTGGAATACTGCACCCAGTTCTGGTCAAAAAGATACTGAAGCTCTAGAAAGAATTCAGAGAAGAGCAACAAAGCTGATAAGGGGTCTGGAGGATAAATTGTTTGATGAATGGCTAAGGGGACTGCCCTAAATGAAGAGAAGTCTAACTTTTCTTCCAGTACTTGAAGGGCTATCACAAGAAGAGGCCATTGATTTGTTCTTACAGCACCTGAGAGCAGGAGAAGAAGCAACGGGTGGAAGCTCATCAGAGAGAGATCCATCCTAGAAATAAGGAGGAGTTTTCTCCTTTATGATTAATCAATATAACATTATGGATTTCACTTAATGACCATGGTGGTTTACTTAACAACTGCCGCAAATAAAGGTCTTAAAATCGGCATAGTTATATGACCTATTTGATATAAAATATAATCTATTTTACAACTGTAACTACTTATGATCATAATGGTCCAACTCCATTACAACTATAACTCTTTGGATATTCTTCTCTTTGTAAGTCAAGCATTTCCAGGTAATCTTATGCACAATTGCATGGAAGAAGGTTTTATTGAATTCAGTTAGGGTATTCTGTAAGCCCTTGAAGTTTTCTTGGCAAGGTTTTTCAGAGCTGGTTTGCCACTGCCTGCTTTCTAGGACTGAGAGAAAGTGACTAGACCAAGAGAACCCAGCTGAGGTGCTAAGGTGGGATTAGCACTCACGGACTCCCAGGTTCTAGTCTGGAGCCTTAACCATTATACCAAACTGGCTCTCCCCTCTACCTTATTTATAGGGTAAAGGTAAGAACAACCCATAGAAAATAATGGAGATATCCTGGATGTTAGCCTCCCTGTAATAGACAAAGAACTTGGAAAAAAGGAACTTTATTGTTATACATGTTGATAGTAGTGCTAATGCTTAATGTGCAAAAATGGAAAGATATATTAATTCCCACAATGGAAGGTTGGTTGGAGAAACTGATGAAACAAGTGGAGATAGCCAAATTAATTGTTTTGGTCAAAGAAAAGAATACATCTAACTTTGTTTCTACCTGGAAACTATTTCTGGATTTTGTGCTTGAAATAGAAAAAAAAATGAAACATTGACTTTGGGATTTACTGATTACATGGGGTTTTTTGTTATAGAAATGGCTAGTATATACTGAGAATGCAAAGTAAAAGTTGAGGCTGTAATGTTATTATGTTCATTCTACTCCACTAAAAAGAGTTGGAAGTTAATGCTCTTTTTCTTTTTTTCCCCTTCACCCTACACTTCTGTCTTTCCCCTTTTCCTCTTTTCCCACTATTTTCATTTTCATTTGTACTTTACACTGATAAGTTTAATAAAATTATATATAAAGATTATGTATAAAATACACCTGAAGCGGTAAAAGAGGAAGTAAAGAAGGAGAATATATAAAATATGAAGGAAAGCCATTGATCACCTGTTGCTTCCTTTGGTCTTTGATATTTCTGGAGAGGATAGACTAAGTCATAACTTAGAGAGAATAATTCTCACATAACATTCTGCTCAGATGATCCCTATAATAGTATCCTAATATTTTCCTGATAAAAGAACTATCAGGAGAACTAGTGTAATATAGTAATCCCGTTGCTGGACTGGGCAACTGTGGGGCAGTCATTCTCTCTCAGTCCAGCCTACTTCACAGGATAATGGAGGGGAAAACTGGAGCAGAACTGTCTTGAGTCGTGAATAAAAAGTGGGACATTAATCTCACAAATAAACAAGCCTGAGTTTATTTTCTGTTCTTATGCAGGGCCTTCAATCTGCTGGGGTTAGTTGTGTGGCAACAGAGGGACTGATCCCAAGTCCAGTGACTTCATTCTCCAAGAGGTAGGCTTGTTAATGCAAGCCCCTTAATATGAGCTGCTAGGTGCAGGCAGTCCTTGACTTACAAATGAGCCCCAGATTTCCATTGCCAAGCAAGACAGTCATTAAGTGAATTTTGCCCCATTTTACAATCTTTCTTACCACAGTTGTTAAGTGAATCACTGCAGTTGTTAGATTAGTAATATGGTTGTTAAGTGAATCTGGCTTCCCCACTGACTTTGCTTGACAGAGGGTTGCAAGGAGTGATGACATGACCTCAGGACATTGCAACTGTCATAAATACATTCAGCTACCGAAGCAACCGAATTTCAATCACATGACTGTGGGGATGCTGCAACAGTCATAAATGTGAAAAACAGTCATAAGTCACTTTTTTCAGTTCCATTGTAACTTCAAACAGTTCAAACTAAAAGAATGGTTGTAAATCTAGAACTACATCTCAAGGAAAGAGATGGAGATCCTGTACATAATCACTTTCTTCTATGATGATCTCACAAGTAACACGGATCATTTTCCCAGATGCCCAAGGAAGTAGTTATAGTTCCTTTTCTTTGTTCAGTCTTTTTCCTGATTAAAAATGATGTCCATCTGCTCCTACAGGTAGTCCTCGACTCACCAACAGTTGCTTAGCAGTGTTCAAAGTTATGAGGGACCTCCCAAAACCTGATTTTGAAGTGACAGCTGCTGCTTGGCAATCTACCCACCCTTATGACCAACTTCAGGAATGCTGCAGAAATCCACCCACCTCATTCCCCTCATTTCCCCCCACTGGGTCCCCACAGCCCTTGGGCCTGCTTCCCACCTCGCTGTGTCCCACACCCGCTTCCCAACCCCCAGTAACCAATCAGTCACAGTCACTTACCTTTTACTGTAGATCTGCTTCTGGAAGCTGCTGCTGCACTGCATGGCTTTCCTACACACTGGAAGACATGTGGCTCCATCCTAGAAATGGTGCCAATTTGCGACTGGCTGTAATGAATTGTGGCCACTCCAACATGGCATCCCCTTCTGGGATGGTACCATGTAGCCTAGGGAGGCTGAGGGGCAGAGCAATCCCACCATGTAGGAAAGCCACGTGGTGCAGCGGCTGCTTCCAGAAGGAATTATATAGTAAAAAATAAGTGACCAATTGTGTCTGGGGATAGGAAGGAGGATGTCATTAAGGGGTGGGAAAGCAGCTCCAATGCCTATGGAGGTCCAGTAGGGTGGGAAAGCATGCCCAAACTTATGGGGACCTTGAAGAGTGGGAAGCGGTGCAGAGAGAGGGGGAGGCCTTGTGAGGACCAGGGCAGACCATGTGTGAGCTGGGGAGGTGCTGTAGTGAGGGCTTGGGTTTGTGCTAGGCCTCCCCCACCTCTGAGGCACCACATGCTCTGCTTAATGACCCACATAGTCACTTAACAGGGAGTAGGGATAAAGGTCATTAAGTGAAGTAATTACACAGGTGCCTCACTTAATGACCATCACAATTTGTGACTGTAACGGGCAGGCTCCATTTTGATGACTACCCGTATTCATATAGGCATTTATTGCTGTTCTAGTTCAAAGAGAAAACATTTCAGTTACAAGATCTGTTAGTCTGTCCCCCGCAAAAAATATTTGGCCACCTCCAGTAGAAGTGCTGGTTACCATTTTGAATAAAATAGAATGGCATGCTAAATACAGATAGTCCTTGACATACAATAATTCATTTAGTGACCATTTTAAGTTACGACAGCACTGAAAAAAGTGACATGGCAATTTTTCACACTTACGACTGTTGCAGCATCAAAATTCAGATGCTTGGCAACTGACTCATATTTATGACGGTTGTAGTGTCCCGGGGTCATATGACAAGCTAACAGTGATTTGCCTCTCATTTGTTCTGAGCATGAACAGAAACTTGTCTCATTTACCTGAGAATTCCTGTATTGCCACTTTGCTTGTTTTCCCTGTTGCAGGACATCACTGGCCTGGCATGAGGAGGATCTTCATCGGGGCAACCCAGAACCTGTCTCCAAGGTACAGTCTGGGGTAGTGGGGGACATGAAGTCATTCAGTTCAGCTTCTTGACCGAGGGAAAACCTTTAGGATAAGTAGAACAAGTTTAGTATTGTTCTTTTAAAATGTCATGGACTTGCCCTTCTTTGAACTTGCCATGAAATGCCAGGGGCAACCCAATCTTTATAAACACAAAGAACTTTCATTTTTGTGGAGCAAGATTATATTGCCCTTTAGTATTGCTCTGCTAATGGAATCTCACTTCTACATTTCATAATGCATCCTTAATATCCCTGACAGCATACTCAGTTCGGTACTGCGCATGACCAATCAAAAGTATGTCAGTGGGACATGTTGCTTGATAAGCTTAGAACTGCAGTCTTCTTAACAAGTTTTGACAATTCTTTGTTCATATAAAACACCATGTAAAGGAGAGAGCATATAAAATAAACACTGTAATACAAGCTAACAAATTACTAAAAGACTTTACTTTAGTGTAAAGTATACAAAAAGATAAAGTATATAAAGAAGTTGGAAGAGGTATTTATTTTGTCTATGGAGATTTTCAGCCATCCAGGTCATAGTTATCCAAAAGATGCTTTTTTTTTTCACAAGGCAACTGGACTTTCTTGTTTTTCTTTGACAACGTTTTGCTTCTCATCCAAGAAGATTCTTCAGCTCTGACTGGATGGGGGGAATAGAAAAATTTATACTCCTTGCAGATAGCTGTTCATTTGCATTCTTTTAGTGAGCCGTTAATGCTACCTGGAGGCTTATCTATGTCTTCAGGTTCACCTGAGTGGTGCAAATGGGTGTGGAGCCTTCTTGGAACTGTTGAAAGGACTGTGTTGTAGACTTGAGATAGATGATGTCGTATCCCCCTCCCTCTGTTGAGGGAGGGCTGTTCAATTTTGATATACTGCTTTAAAGACTGGATTTTGGAAGGAGTTAGCAATGGATACAATGGGGGCCTCCAATTAAGGCTGGAAATTGGATTGGGAAAGCAATCTTTTTCTCTATATACTGTAGCTTGGGGGTCCATAACACATAAGATTTGTTAAATAGCTGAAAGAGGGTTGGAGAATCCTAAGCTATGTTTGATGCCTATTGATGTTCGTTCTCTCCCTCTCCCTCCCTCCCTCCCTTTCTCCCTCCCTCTCTCTCTCTCTCTTGCCAGTGTTTCGTTGTGCGCTCCTTAGGATGGGTTGAGATTCCTGAGGAGGACTTGGCACCAGGCAAAAGCAGTATCGCAGTAAATAATTGCATCCAACAACTTTCCCAAAGCAATGGTGACAGTTTTGGCCCTGCTGATAGATGGGGTGAGGTGAGTGCCTAATATATACAACCTGAGGGAAAAAGATCTGCTCCTAAGATCTGTTTTCTCTTGCCAAATTCCACTGTCCCCCTTTTGGAATGTAGCCATTAATTTCTTGGACACAACTATTCTGGGGTTTTCTTTTGTCTCTTGGCCTGGATGAAGGCTGGCACCAGAGGGTGTTTTCATTCCTGTTTTCAAATGTGTTTCTTCTCTTCTACTGTAGGCTGATATCATTACATTTGACTAATTGGCTCTAGGGCATGTTGATTTTCCAAATTGGGCTTTATTTTCAGTTTCTATCAATTCAAAAACCATAGCCTTGAGAACAGAAAGTCAAACTAGTAAGTTAAACAAAATGACTCATACCCCCAAAAATCGCAGTGGGGTATAGCCAAGAAATAAAAACCTGTTTGATGTTTTACTATTTAATCAGCTGAGCAATAAAGTATGGGCTGGCACAGCCTCTTTTTCAAAAGCATATATGGCAGCAGAGGAAAATTTTATGAACTACTGGGCATTGGGAGAATTTGACATGTCCAAGCCCACCTCCCTAAGACATTAACTGAGGCTGTCAATGCAGCCTGCTTCTTCCTTAACAGAAAATTCACCCCAGCAGAAAGCCTAGAGTGTTTGAGTATGGCAGTCAGAGAAACAGTTGCAAGTTTGTAGAGTTGGAGATAGAGAAAGTTGGAGATGGAGAAAAGATTGGAAGCCAGTGGAATGGCTGAATTGAAAGAAAAAGTAAGCAACAGTTTTCCCCTGATCAAAACCAATTAAAGTGTCTATAGCAGAAGCAAGCAACCACAACAATCTGATGCAGACTTAGAAAGGACATCAAGGGATGAAAATAAAGCCCAGGTCCTAAATGAATCTCAAGGCAGGAGGCAAGTAAACAAATGGGCAGGTCATGCATTGCTCCAAACCCTTGAAAATCCTGAACTAAACTCCGGAGGACTTCTGGTTTTTCATTGTAGTGACGCGGCCGAGAGATTGCGGGGCTCTGCACTTCACAGCTGGTTTCGCCCTGCCAGGGGACCTTAAATGGGTCTAAAGTCACCCTGGAGAGGCAACAAAGAACTGTTCATAAAGATAAGAACTATATGAGACTATGGTGTTTGGAACTTAAGACTGGTTGGTTTTATGAAAATGGAGGTTGCATACACAACTAAAAGTGGTAGGAAACCACACTCAATATTCTTTTCTAAAACCCCCAGTCTAGAATATCAGACATCTGCAGGAGTAATACTTCAAGACAAGACAAATATCTTCCAGGAGGAAATATATGCTATGTTGCAGTTAATTCAAATGACAATTGTTTCAAATCATAATAAGATTAAAAATAATTTTGATGATATAAATGAACATATCCTTGGCCTAAGCTCACAATTAAAAAACTCTCAGAAAATGATGACAAAGAATGAACAAATAAATCGGACAATAGAACAAAAACCAGAAGAAAGTGACCCAAAGATGGAAGCTACAAATGAAAATCATAGCTTAACACAGACAAAGAAAAATCTGCAAGATTCTGCTATAATATTCGAAATGGAAAAGACATTTTATTTTTCAAAACCTCAAAACAAAACTGAGGATAAGAAAGAAGATTTGATAAAATGGACTATAGAGCTGTCAGGAGAACCACTAGAATTTTGGAGACAAAAGATGAAAAGAGAAATTGAGGGAGAAGGAAAGTGGAAGCTTCTTAACAAATATAAATGGGTGAAACTCCCCCTCAAAAGCACCTCACTCAATTTGTCTTTCCTATTTTTAACAACACTTATAAAAATACAGGAAGAATCCCCTGGCAAACTGAACACACTGATTCGGAAAGCTGCTAGGCAAAAGAAGAAGGCGAGAGCTAGACTCAAGAGAGATGATTTGACTTACCAGATGGAGTACTACATGACCAAACACTTGTTTGAATATGGTTAAAAGAATAGTTAAATTTTGGATATAAATGAGTTCTATAGTAAGAGAGATGTGATTTATAAGTAGTATAGTATTTCTTTATGATATGAGAAATGTAAAAATAATGGGATGACTTAAAAGAACAAAATGTTTTGGATATTCAAATGTAATTAACTTGGAGAAAATTATAACTGATAAGAAATGTTTTGAATACTGAAGGGAAAATTAAGCCTAAATAAGAATAGGAGAGAGCCAGACTCAAGAGAGATGATTTGACCTACTATATAGAGTACTGTATGACCAAACACTTGTTTGAATATGGTTAAAAGAATAGTTAAATTTTGGATATGAATGGGTTATATAATAAGAGAGATGTGATTTATAACTAGTATAGTATTTTTTTATGATATAGGAAACCTAAAATACTGGGATGATTTAATTCTATAAAATGTTTTGGATATTTAAATGTAATTAATCTTGAGAAAATCATAATTGACAAGAAATGTTTTGAATACTGAAGGGAAATTAAGCTTAAATAAGAATTCTGAAAACAAGACCTATAGTGATTTACATAAGATGTTTTTTTGCAAAAGCAATTGTAAAATAAGCTGATTAGAAAAAACGCTACATATTGATGTTATTGTTATTCGTATAAATACTAGAAAAATGTTTATATTCAACTTTCTGTGTATTGAAAGTACTAAGAACTATATTTGTTTAATGTTGGTAAAAGAATATTATTGGAAGAAGAGAGGATCAAGGAAAGGTATTCCTAGTTAGTATGTTGATTATGAAATTATAGAAATTAACTTTTATTGATTGTTGTTAAATATATGAACCCAGACAATATGTTGTTTACCAAGTATTAAAGATTGTTATTCTAACAAATCAATAAAATATATTTTTTTTAAAAAAGAAAATCCTAAACTAAACCCCAAAGTCCTGGTAAACAGGCTACTTGCAGGGAAATGTGGAAGAAGACCAGAAAAAGAGCCAAACTCAACAGACCACTAGTCCCAAGATGCCCTGACCCAATTTTCCATAGACTGAACTAAAACAGACTGGGGAGGAACAGGAATATAGGAGAAAAAAGCACCATAATAAAAGTCCCCGCCCAGAGATTAGCTCCTTCTGCTTTTGTGTGTCTATCTTTAAAATCTTTGCAAAAAGGAATTTGAAGCACAGGTATAAGGTTACAATGAGATCCAGTTCCATCTATGTGCTGTTAAATCCTTCTATTTCATTCCAAACTCTCCCCCGCCAAACCTTCCCAACCAGTCTAAATCAATACCAACAGGGAAGTGACTGATCCCACCTTCTGTATTGACCTGAATAGAAAAATTCAAAAGATTTTGAAGATAAAGCAACACTCTGATAACAACTGCTAGAACAGGACAAAACACTTGAAACAGCTTGGGTCAAAAATGGATGCATTTGTTCCCCCCTTTCTTCTTCTTTTTTTAATGAATATTTTATTAATTTTCTAATTTTACAATCATAAGTTCTTAATAAGCTATGTGTTGTTTGGGTCTATTAGTAATTCAGTGGTACATATTAACTTTCTCAGTCTAGTCCAATACTACACCATCTAGTGTTTCCTTGGTCCTCTCTTCCGCTAGTATGCATTTTTCCATTCTGGGAAAATACAATTCTTGTTAATACATATACAATTAAATATAGACATCTACATCACATTTTTCTGGTATTATACCTAATATCAATAGTATCAATTTACAATATCTTTGCCAGCCAAAATATATCTCAATTGCACTTGCACTTAAAATCCATTTATTCAATCAATATCCTGCTTTTCCCGCTTTTTAAAAATTTTAATTTCCCATCAATGTTCAAAATATCTCTATCGCTTATAATTTTCTCATAATAAATTATATTTGGGTAACCAAAAGCTTCCCTTATTCAAACCCTTTTAGAATGTTCATATTTCCCATCTCATAACAAAATATAATATTCTAGTTACAAATCCTATCCTTCTAGTTATAATAATACTTTTATTTCTAACGGTTATTTATTTTTTTAGTCATATTCAAACATCTGTTTAGTAGTATAATATCCCATTTAATAGATCAGAACCCCAATTTTCTTCAGTCTTATTCTAGCTTTCTTCCTTTGCCAAATAACTTTCCAAGTCAGTACATTTAAATCATCAAGTAGTTCTTCCTCTGTTTTTGTATATATTATTTGGAACGAGGAAAAGAATTTGGTTGAAGTGTTTTTGGAAGAATGCTCAACCTATTTATATTCATTAAACAGCCTCCATCTTTCTCCTTCAGTTTTTCTTTTCATTTCTTGTTTGTCAATATTCAGCATTTCTCCTAAGCTTTATCATCCATTTGATCAGCTCTTCTTCCTTATCCTCAAATGTGTTCTGAGATCACATGGCTTTTCCATTTCCGGTGTTACCACTGCATCTTCTAATTTTTCATTTGTCTGTATCTGTCTGTTAATTCCTTCCTTTAGGTCCTCCATCTTTAAATCTGTTTCTACTAATTTTCCTTCTGTTTTCTGGGTTATTAGTTCCTTCTTTGCAGTCATTGTCTGGATTTATAAGTTTAGGTTAGAAAATTGTTCTTTTATCTCATTTGTGTTATTTTTAGTCTCATCCTGAAATAAAACAATTGTCTCTTGGATTGATTTCAACATGGAAAGAATTTCTTTCTGAGATTCATTAACATTTTCTTGTTGATATATCAAGCTGGGAGCATTGGAGTCAGATGTTGAAGATGATTTTTTACCATTTAAGGCTGAGTATGGAACATTCATTTTGTTTTTGTTTGTAGTCTTTATAGTCCAATAAGGTCCCCATCCCAGATAAGCAGTCCAAGAGTTTTTGTTTTTCCCTTTTCCCAGCTGCAGTCTACAAAAGTGAAAGTGTCCAAGAACAACAAAGAGTCTTATCTGAGTCTGGGCTTCAAGCCAAGTTTCCTTAAGCATTATAAATTGTAGTGCCATAATTCTCCTATAGATGCCGTTGACAACATCATCCAGCTTTTCAAATCCAAGCTTATTTTGCAAACTTTCAAATATTTTTTTCTAAAAGAAGTTTCAAAGGTACTTTTAGTCTCCAAATTTCAAAGCTATAGATCTGTATTAGTTCCAAATTGATCTTGTAGTTTCCTGTTTTCTCCCAAAGCAATTAATTCGCCGCTTTTTTTTTTCCTGAGGGAGCAGGGCAATAACTTCCCTTCCCTCTCTCATCGGGGAGGATTCTTTGCTTTGGGCATTCTTTTTTCCAGGAAAGTAGTGTTAGGGCCATAAAAAGAGGATAAAGTCTCACCCAGGTCTATCCACATTGCTCAGAAATTGCTAGTTAGTCCTTGTCTTCGGTTGTTAGCAGCTTCTGACTGGCCACACGAATGTAGCCAGTCTTTCCCCCACTGGTTTGGAGAGCTTCCTTGGATCCAGTGGGCCGCCGCCCCTCTGTGATCAACGAGGGTCCCCTCCTTCTTTGTTGCCTCTTCAGGGCAACTTTCAACCCTCTTTAGGGTCCCCAGTGAGGTGAAATCAAACATGGAGCCCCGTCTTTCTGCACCTATCACGCTGCAACATCAAACTGGAAGTCTCCCCCCTCCCTTTAACCCCCTTCTATTCCATGTATCCAATTTTCAGAAACTGACTGGACAAGTCCCTGCAGTTTTGCCGGCAAGCTTTTCAGAAGTGGTTTATCATTGCCTGCTTCCTAGGGCTGACCCAAATGACTAACTCAAGGTGACTCAGCCTGCTTTGTGCCCAAGGCCGGACTTGCAGTCTCCCTGTTTCTAGCTTGGTTATCTTAACCACTGCACCAAACTGGCGATCATTTGTGCTTTCTTCAAACAAAACAAAACAAATAGTGAAAAACACTGGTACTCGATTTTGTTCAAGAGTAGATTTTATTAGGTTTATATTAGAACTGTTTTGTGATATAATTCTGAAGACTCTGTGAATGAATTTAGTTAAATTTATGCTGAGAGTTCAGGTGTTTTATATAAGGACCTATTCAATCACTGCTGTTAGACTTCTTTTCTAATTATATTGAGAGGGATATTAAGTTGCCTGCATCCAGAAATGAGAGCCAAAATGTTATGTTAAAGAACTTTCCAATTTATATCTATCATACGATAGTCTTCTCAGTCACAGTCCTTCCCCATTATTACAGCTTTTGCTAAACATGCCTTAGGCAGAGGGATTTTCATTCCTGCACCATTCACATTTCTCTGGCTTTCCTCAACAGGGTCAAAACATGATGATGATTCTCCAGGAGGACACAATGAACTTGGTGGATCCTTTGGATCACAGCCTCATTCATTGCCAGCCCATCATCAATATTCGTGTTTGGGGTGTGGGCTGCAACAAAGGCAGGTGAGGAATAATGGTTGGGTCAGAGAAAGGAGACCTTATTGAAACCAAACTCCAAGGGCATGTCTACATTTTGTAATAGTGGGTTATTAAGCTATAGATATTGTTGAATTTAGTATTTAGGATTTAAGATTATCCACCACCACCCTGATTTTCCCATGGGATCTTCTGCTACCCTTTCCACATGCGATCACCATTTATTCCCAAGCTATTAACGGGGCACCTGCTTCAGATACTCTTCATTAACCATTCTTTTTTCCCTCTACATGCTGTGCTTGATCAAGGGACAGGTAAGTTCTCCTCTTCCTCCTGAAGCAAAGCTAGTGCTTGGAGCCCTGCTCTTGCTCATTGGGCTCTCCTCTCCTTGCAGGGATTTTGCTTTCGTGGCCAGTGACAAGGACACGTGTGTGCTGAAGTGCCATGTCTTCCATTGCAATGTGCCTGGCAAGGCTATTGCCAAAGCTCTGCATGAAATGTGCTCCAAGGTATCCCTCCTAACTTGTAGCACAGTTCTTTATATTTATATGTAAACACACACACACACACACACACACAAAACATTATGTATATGTGCATCCAGACACACATATGCTACATATGGAAAGGTTGTGGTTCTGAGGTGTACTTTTAGTGCAGCAGCAAGAGTTTTCAGTACTTTAACTAAGTAACAGATGTCACTGATGTTTCATTCTGCGGGAGTGGGAGACAAAATGAATATTAAAATAATCTTAGTCTCTTTATATACTTTCAAAATCAATCGAAAATTATTTAAAGGGAGTAAAGACTTTGCCAGTCTATATCTGCATGCTAATTCTCTGAAAATTGAAAGATGAAGTTAGGAGGGCAGAAACAAAAAATCCTGAAAATCCCCCCCCCCACTCAGATTATATGACTCAGATTATAGCATATACAGTCCACTCATGCTTCTTAGTGCACACAGATAGAAACAATGGGGAATGGGGGCAAACAGAAACGCACATGTGCCAGTATATGACACATTACTTAATTACACAGAAGAAGCCAGAGACACACTACCCCCTGTGGCCATGGCTAGAAAAGGGACCAGAAACAATTCCAGAATCCTTGCTTGGCATCTTTTCCCTTCCTTCCTACTTTCCCCCAATCTTAATCTGCTACTGTATCTGTTGCAAATTTTCTGTTGCTATACCTAACAGCAGTTATACAAATGTTTACAGCCTGCATCATTTTAGTGTAATTCTGAATGGTTGTAAACTGTTTGCATTGTGGCCTCCTTGGTGCTTTTTGAGCTTAGTTGTTTGCTGCAAACTTTCCATTACCCAACTATGTAATATCATTCACACTGTTAATGTTAGTTTGTCGGGTAATGAAACATCTGCCAGCTAATAACCAAGTTTAGAGAACCCCAAGAATTCCACACTCCAACTCCGAGCTGCAGATATTCTCTTCTACAATTTATATTTGCAGATTAGAAACTGGAGGAAGCAGAAATAGAAATACTTCAAATCTCATGCAGGAAACTGCACAAGAGAGCTAATATTCTATCTGAGAATATAATAACAGAGGAGAAGGGCAAAAATACACAGGATTTGCTTAGAGGTAGTGAAACTATATTGAAGGATTAGTGAAGAAAGAAAAAGCAACTTTTATAGCAGCTATATTTCTTCGGGGCTTACCTGAAATGTACAATGCCTTCATATGTGGATAAGAGACAAAGCTGAAGGCATAGGTAGTACTTCATTTTTTAAAACAAATGTTTGGAGATTAATTTGCATAGAAGGAATTAGCATAATGATATGTCCAATCCACCTTCCCTTAAACTCTTGGAGCAGAAGATACAGCTATATTATGTCATGCCCCCATATACAGCAGGGTTTGCATAACTGCTCTTTCTGTTTAGGGTATTCTTATGTTGCATTGGCTACTAGGATATACTATGTGCTTAGACCTGGATAGCTTTAGATGATATCTATAGTCATCTAAAATGTGAAGGTCCGGAGTGCAATTCCTGAGAGAGGTGTTGTACCCCGTGGAATAACATCTGGTCATTCCTCTCTGTGGAGTTGCAATAAGGATAAAACCAGTTGCATGGGTGCTCCAGGTGGTCAGGGTAGCATAGAAAAAGGCAATTATATCTAGAATAAAAAACACCACTACAAATAGTAAAGCAGGCAAGAAAGAAAAGAACATTTGTTATAAGAACGAGTACCAAAAACAGCAACTTGGGAGAAATGAACAAAGAATCAAAACAAGTAAAAAGAAAAGGGAAAAGAGTGGAGTGGAATTTTTTGAACAGTACAGGAAAAGTTAATGAATTAGTTTTGAAACACTCAAGCAGTACCAGATGTAGACTTGGTGAGGGCCTAAGCCAACGTTTCTCAACCTTGGCAATTTTAAGCTGTGTGAACTTCAACTACCAGAATTCCGTGCTGAATGACATCATGTACTCCCAGAGTTCAATGCTGCCTGGGGATTTCTGGGAGTTGAAGTCCATATAGTTTAAGGTGTCAAGATGGAGAAATATTGCCCTAAGCTATATAAAGCTTGGAGGCCCCTTGTTAAGAAGTTTCACCATTGCTTACCAAAACAGGACCTGGGGTTGCTAGAAAAAACAATGAAAACGTATATAGGAGGTATTTAAAACAAAAAATTACATTTTTTTTTCAAATGAATGCATGTACTGATTAAATGTTTATCATTTGGCTGGCTTGACCTCTCTCACAGATTATAATATAGTACTCGTTATTCTGGAAATAATACTTAAATGAAATCTTAAAAATAATTTTAAGATACATTAATATATATAAAATAGTGACAAAATAAGTTATCAGGATCACTTTTATTAATGTAAGCAATAATGAACTCATTAGCAAAATCAGAAAACTGATATTCGGAAATTTTACGAAGTCCTAATCTATAGCTTGTTTAACTTATGCATAAATCAGGCACTGTTCTCAAGGCATATGACAAATTATACATTGAAATGGACTTTTTGCAGATTATAGATATAAGTTGCAACAAGTTCTAATGTTTCATCCTTTTTGAGCCTGCCTGTAAATAAATCATGGCAGTCCTGTTGATCCATTTTCCATTTTATGGGTGGCTACTTTATTTTGATTTACGCCTCACTTGTGTATGTCTGTTGTACTGTATGTCTGTCTTCATCATCTGAACAGATGCAGTAATCATGTAAGTTTGCAAACAAGAGATTTTAATTATGATCCAGGTGGCAGCTGGTAGCCTGCCAGCATTCTGTATGTAGCAGCCAGCTTATTTTCTATATACAGTAGTGCTTATATTTCCCCTGCACAGTTTCACTGTACTACCCCGAAGGTGACCTGTTGTGTGAGCAGTCTGAGTCTCCTCCTACAGATGATGGGCTGAACATTCCTGAAGTCCTAATGAAATTTGCCAGGCCTCCTGCCTATGACAATTATCTAATGTGCAATGGAGGGAACAGGTTTGGGAAGGGATGGGGTGAATGAAGTATTGCCAGACATAATGATGTTGACATATAATGGTGCAGAGGATTTCATTTAAATAATATTGATTTTAGTCATTGCTTATGAATACTAGGTTTTAATTATTTAAATAACCACCAGGAAGTCTATTATTTTAATAAAGGAAAGACCACTCAGGTGGTCTACTATAACCTTGATATAGATTCACTGGTTCTCAAAGAACCATTTTAGGAAGCAGGCATAAACAAAGTAGCAAACTGGAACAGGATCAAAAAAGAGCAGTGAAGTAACTGCCCAAGGGATTGGGCAGTAAGACCTATGAAAAGCAGCTGCAGGAGACATATTCACAGAAAAGATTATTGAAAGACCTTCTTGATACGACTCTGAATACCTGAAAGGATGGCATGGAGAAGAAAGTCAAAAACTGTTCCTTATGATTCCAGAGTACAGGACAATGGATAATGGATTTAAACAACAGGAAGGCAGATTCCAACTGAATGTCAAGAAGAAACTGTTCACTGTAAAAAGGGTTCTATAGCAGAACCAACAATCAAGAAAACTAGTAGAGTCCTCAACACTGGATGTGTCCAAGCAACGTTGAAGATGCCTTAATACAGCGTTTCTCAACGTTTGTGTGACGGCGACCCCCGTCACACGATGCGCCGTGCATGTGCGGGGGCGAAAATGGCGGATCGTGTTGTTTGGCGACCCCCGTAAAATAGTCGTTCGACCCCAAAGGGGGTCGCGACCCATAGGTTGAGAACCGCTGCCTTAATAGGATACTTCTCCAACTTCTCCTATTCCTTCTTTCTGGTGTTGCTGTCACCTGGTACTGCTACATTTATCACTACTGCTATCTTCCAGTCTGTCATTATTATGATGTCCAGTTGATTAGACAGTACTTGTCTGCCTGCCTGGATCTGGAAATCCCAAGGCTCTTAGCCCTTTTATTTTCCACAACCTTCTGTGGGATTGCCCATCTAGAATTAGGAGAGTCTAGCCTATATTCTGTACAATAAATTTTATTTTATATATTTTGGGAGATGTATGTGATTGTTTAAATATTTTTGATAGTTGAAAAAAAACTAACCCGAATGAAAGGTTTATTACTACAATCCAAAAGTCTATTTGATAATAGGAATAATGGTTCTTTTACAATAGGGGTAGGCACATGTATCATTTATAAATATTACAGAACTATAATTCCCAACAACTCCAGTCATTTTGACCAATAGTAAGAAATGCTAGAAATTATACTACAGCAGATTTAGCATGCCACAGCATGCCACATTATCTCCATCTTATTATGAGAGTTTATGTGTACATATATAATACACACACACATACATATATTTTTAATTCTAATTGAACTAGAGCCGATTGAGTTCTTATAGGTTTCACAATTATGTATCAGGTTTTTTGTGAAATAAAATGATCAAATCATTATCCAATTTTTAATGAAATTTCAGTCTGAAAAAAAAATCTGAATTATTGCTCACCAGCTCTTCATTCTAGAAGAGGTTAAGGAAGAACCAGGTTGCGTTGACAGCAGAGTCAGCTACAGTTTACCATGTGTTCCCTCAAAGTTTTGGAAGCTGTATTTCTAACACTGCATTTGCCCTTTTTTGCGGTCACATCACATTGCTAAACTGATGGTTTTAGGAATAAGCGAGGGGGGTCAGGAGAGGCTGCTTTAAATCAATTGATTATGATTGTGGTGCAGTTAAAAACTATTAGGAAGGAGCATTTTGGCCTTTGGCGAGTACAGCATTTATTGACTATTCTTTAAAGCAACAGCTTCTTTTCTCTGTCTCAGTAATTGAAGTCACCTCTTTTTTTTGCTGATGATTCCTATTACTAGTATTTTCTATTCGGTGTATAAACTGTTCCATCTTGTTTTCTTTGAGCAGGAGATCCCGCCCACCATGCATTTATGACTGTCTGAATTCTTCATGTTTGTTGGAATCATTGTGTGATTTAACAGTACTAAATGCCTTATTTCTTAAACTTGTAATTAGATGTGCATGTTAAACTGAAAATAACACTTGTATGGTTTCCTGTTTCTGACTTTTTAAATTATAGCTTGTGTCCTTGGTCACTTCTCCCAAATAGGGGAGGGGCTAATAACATCTCAACCCTAGAGCAGGGCTTTTCAACCGGTGGTACGCATACCACCTGTGGTACTTTGCCACGTGGCAGGTGGTACACGATTGCTAGCCAAATGTAGCAGGGGAGGGGAATGAGCTGAAGCAAGCCAAGCCTGAGGGACAGGCAGCTGCAGCTGCAGGATTGTCTGGGCTTAGCAGAAGCCCAGGAGCTGGCAGAGCTCCAGTTGATTGGCTCCAGCTGATTGGTGCTTCCAGAAGCAGCTGGGAGCTGGAGATGAACTGAAGAAAAAAAGGGGGGGAAAGAGAGGAGGCTATAAAAGAACGTGGTTTGGGTGGGGGAAGGAGAAAAAAGACAACAGGAAAGGTTTAATCCCTTTAAAGAAATATAATTAGTTTTACCCCCTTTAATTGAGTCTGTCTGTGGCTTTTAGAAAGTTTTCTTTGAAGGCAAACAGGCTTAATTTAAAGCTGAAGCTTTTCACAATTGCCGGAGCCTTTCAGTCTAGAATTGCAACATTGTGACACCTGAGGCAGCTTAAAGAGAAAAAAAAACTGGGTAACTATTGATCTGTCTCCAGCCTTCTTTTGGGGTGGGGGGGTAGATTGTTGAGAAGGTGGTTGGACAGCAAAGAATCTTAAAGGAATCTATTATTCAGACCTTTAGTTGGGTTTCAGGCAAGGAGTCATTATGGAGATGGATTTGGTCATATGGATTGAAGCTTTTTTTGTATGTACATAGTATTTACTATACTTTGTGAACATCCCTGGTAGTCATCAAAGTGTACAAATTGTGCAGTTTGGCCTCATTTTGTCAATAGGGGTCCCACTTGGTTAATGCTTCGAAAAAAATCTTTTGAACCAGGCTCTCCACAGGCTTCATCAGAACCAGACTTCTAGTGGTTGGTAGTCAAGCAGCAAAGTGCCAATTAAGTTGTGCGTCTATTAGTAAGCTCAACTAATAAGAGGATCGGATTGCATTTATTGAAGGAAGGGGACTTGTTATTTGAGTTCTTATTTCTGCCCATACACTTGGAGCCCTTGCACTTTGCTCCTCGGTTTTACTATAAAAACATACTAAGATAGGCTTTAAGCTATAATGGCCTTTTTCTATTTTACAGATTATGGCTGAGCAAGCAGTGGCAAGTAACAGCCTCTCTCGATCCATCACCCTTGAATCTGTGTCTCCAAATGACATATCTCTGCAAGGTAACAAGATTCTAGACCAAGTTTCTTTAATTACATGCGTTATATTTTTCCTCACATTTACAGAAATGTAGTGATTATTCCTTAGGCTCTTATATTAGGAATCACTACTCTTCACCTTACCCCTGAAAGAACCTCTGCATTGGGATGAAAGATCGAATAACAAAGCAGCATTTTCGCTATATAAAGTTGATTTGTTGAATTTCACCTTGGCATTTGTTGCTTGGTGCCTTTATCTTTGAATGGATTTTGTCTGACCTTCGCAGTATCTTATGTGTGGTAAATCATTTCACTGAATAGGTTCCGAGGTCCCTCATACCTTTCCTGATGCATCATGAACTACAGTACACAGTAAAAGCAGATCATCATACCATCCAGTTTGAAAATACACAACTGAATGTTTGCTATAATTGTAGAAGAATTTAGGAAATGGGTGGGAAGTCAGAGAGGTGATCGGTGAAGAACACATCTGCCGGCCACCTGTGCCACCAAAACATTACTGGCAGACTGGAGTCTCTGTGTTCTGGCAATCTACAGAGGCATTTCACTGGTATTCTTTGTTTTCAGACAATGACGGAATTAATGTGCTCCTGATTGCCCCCTTATTATAACCTGCAGTGCAGCATTTGATACCTCCTATAAAAACTTCCATTTCTTAGATTAATGGCACTCTTAGGGACCAGTGAGTGAACTCCGTAAGACTTACTGTAGGATCATGAGGAAACACTTGATTACTCATTCCAAGTGCCATGTTTCGGTATCTCCTTATTTCCAATAAGATTTATTTTCTGAACAACAGATTGCAACAAATCTGTTCTCTTTTGTTCCTGCAGCTGATATATTTGATGCTGTGAGAAAATCTGTTCAGAAATACAAAGCTTTCTATATCGGCAGCTTACCAGTATCCAAATCTATGGGTAGGTATTTCTTAGTGACTTCTGCAACTTATGTTTATAGCTGGCTTCATAAATATTGTAAGGTGTAATCTTGTCTATTTTATTAGCATTTCTACAATTATGAAAATAACTTCTGCATTATAAGTTGCAATTGGTAGTTTATTTTTATCCTTACAGGAATCTTGCCTGGTATATGGAAAAAGGAATAATTCTGTTGATGAGATTCCTGTGCAATAATGCTTTCTTCTCTGTGCTGGATACACTGACCACATCAATAACGCTATCAGCTCTGAGTTGCAAATATCTGCAGCCATTTGCTGACCTGATAAATGGCAGCAAAGAGAAACTACCAACTCTAATTTTTGCAACTGAGATCTGGCAACTTGAAATGAAAATCCATTGGGTTTTGTTCGTATTGTAGTTTGCTCTTGAGTTAAAGCTATGTTAGGGTTGACAGGAGGTGACAAGAATCAGGTTGAAGCATAGATTTGATTAGAAAATGATTAAGGAATGAAGAGTTAAATACTGCTTTTCTTTGATGTTGTGTTTCACCTTAAAAATTAAATATAAAAACCTATAATACATCCCTTTAATAACTGTTTGTCAAGAAATCAACAAGTTCATCATGTCATCTTGTTACTGTGCCTGTTACAAGTTTCTATGATGTATAGCGGTTAAAGCTGTAGGGTGAAGTTAAAGGAAACGGTAGAAATGTTTGAAGTTACTATTTTTTTTTTATGGATATTTCTCTCAAACTAGCTGTTCTCTTGAAAAATCTCAAAACAGATGATTTCTTTAGTTATCTTTCCTCATCTTTGGCCTTGGGAGGAATCTTAAGCAGCCAAGTTGCCTTGACTGGAGTTTTGGAATTCAGAACCTGGATCCTGAAATTACCTATTCTGCAGCTAATGGTGAAAAATGGCTTGGCTTATTCATTTCTTTCCTGCCTTGGCACTTTAGGGATGGATGTGCTAAATAATGCCATTGAAACTCTGATGGGCAGCTGTAACCGTGAGCAGTGGATTCAAGCTGTGGTTAGTGTTTCAGACTCAGTGATGCAAGCAGATCAGACTGAAGTAAGTGATATTATACACAGTGGAATCTTTCTATTCTCACCAAATATCTGAGTATGACCTTGCTATCTGTCTCCTGTATGTGCTATGGCCTGCTTGCTCTGCATATCCCAAAAATCGAGTAATCAGCCAAGGAAATACTTGACTGAAAACTGATAGTTGGAATTTTTCTCATCATGATTGATTGAATGCTATTACCTAGAGCAGTGGTTCTCAACCTTTTTAATGTCACGACCCCAACCGGTCGTAAGTCGAGGACTACCCAACTGGTCATAAGTCAAGGACTACCCAACCGGTCGTAAGTCGAGGACTACCCAACCGATCATAAGTCGAGGACTTTCCCTGCCCGGGAGTGCCACGCATGTGTGGTGCCGCCCCCTGCGCCGGCCGAGGCGTAGCTGGCAAGGGGCAGCGACAGCGCAGGGCGACCACCGGCTGGGCCACCAGCTGGCCCAGCCCAAGGGAGGTAAGGCACCTGCCGGGCTCCACGCGCGCCAGCAACCCTCCCTCCGCCCGCCGGCCTCCCACCCCTGGCCCTCTTTTACTTACATTTTTAGTAGTTGCTTAGCAGGGAGGGGTGGAAGCTTCCAGACAGCTCACCTTCACTGCAGACAACTTGTAACACCACTTGCAGACTGGGGCTTTTGGCAGGCTCAGCAGGGCAGAGACAGCCTGGACAATTCCTATTGGCTTTTGAAAGCCAATAGAATTAGACTCTATTCAAGAGAGTCTATTCTATTGGCTTTCAAAAGCCAATAGAATAAAAGGGAGTAGCACAGCTAAGGAAAAGGGGAAAAAAATGGCGGACTGCGTTGTTTGGTGACCCCCGTGAAATGGTCGTTCGACCCCAAATGGGGTCGCGACCTACAGGTTGAGAACCGCTGACCTAGAGTAAGGGTTGGCAGTCTTTTTCCATAGTGGAGCCAGAAGCCATATGCTGCTACCCGCATTTTTTGAGGAGGTGGAAAGCACTTTCTCCCTCCCTGTTGTGGATTGGATAAGTATATTTATTTTTGGGACCAAGGGCTAAATGGTTTTGGCTGGTGGGCATATCTGGCCTATTGGCCATAGATTGCTGACCCCGATCAGATCTTGGCTGCAAAATCCAGATAATGATTACAGGTAGTCCTCTACTCATAACTGGTCACTTAGTGACCATTCAAAGTTATGATGCCTCTCCCAAGTAACATTTTGGGCACTTGGCTATAGGGTCCATCTGTTTGCCTTGTCCTACAGTCATGTGATCATGATTTTTGAGCTGTGGTGGCGGCTCATTGGTTAGAATATAGTATTGCAGGCTGACTCTGCCCACTGCCAAAAGTTCAGTCCTGACCAGGTCAAGGTTGACTCAGCCTTCCATTCTTCCAAGATTAGTAAAATGAGGACCTAGATTGTTAGGGGCAATATGCTGACATATTGTAAACTGCTTAGAATTCTATAAAGCACTATGGAGTGAAATATAAGTCTAAGTGCTAAGTGCTATTTTTGTCATTTTTTGCCGAAAACTGGCACTCCTTCCAGAGAAAACTTACTTTCCATTTACTTACTTTCAGGAGAAGATAATTAAGAAGCTTAACTTTGTTACTTTGGCGAGGTTCCACAGTGATTTTTTAATCTGTGCTAGCCATTTGCTGCCAAAGACAAAGATTTCAATGATCCATTGATTCCAGTGGGAGTCAATTATAGTTAATTATCCCACAGAGGTCAGTTGGATTTTAATACGTTTAGCTTTGTATGTTACAAATTCAACTGATTTTCATTAGAATATTAAGCACTTCCATTAATCTTTCTCATGGAGAATTTTAGTATCCTTAACTTTGGTTGGGGTTTGTCTATAGTTCAACCTAATTTATTAAATATAAAGTGAAAAAAACGAATAATAAATGTTAAAGGGTCATTCTTGACCTTTATTAACCTGCTTAATAATATTGATACATCCAGATATAGTTACATCCTATTTGTTCCACTGGTTTCAATGAGCACTAAGTATTGCTTTCTGCAAAATGGAATTTACATTTACAAAACACATAGCCCTATTATGTTATTCTTCCAATAATGTTTACTTTTAACATATTGTATTAAACTATAAACTAGAGATTTCAAGCAGTCTGCTGGATTTATACACCATAATGTGATTTGTTTGAATTTGCCAGGGTAAAATTCAGCCATGGTGATTTATAAAGCATAGTTTATAGTTATCTGAATACCACTGCACCAATTTAACCATTTGTTAAATCATGTCTTACAGTTGCATATGATCTAGCTGTCTGTCTCAAGATGTCCACCTACTACCATACACAAAAGTCACTGCATCACATTTATGAGGCTGGTCACATAATTCATCTTTGTTTTAGGAATAGGGTTTTTTTTTTAAAAAAAAAAAAAAGAAAAAAAGAAAAAGAAAGAAAGTATACCTTTGATTCCTGTGTGAAGAACACCTAAACCTTGCAACTGGTATCTGGAGGACAATCAGAATCAAATGCAATGAGTTAGTATAATCTGATTGGATTGTTCTGTATTCTTTAAGGCTGAAGAGGAAAAAGATCCCTGCATTTGGGAATGCCAAGTACGCTACGTGACTTTTATTGGGATTGGGAGAGATGCCCACACATTTGGACTTATTGCTGACATGGGGAAACAACATTTCCAGTGCACAGCTTTTTGGTGTGAACCAGATGCTGGAACCATTTCAGAAGCAGTACAGGCTGCATGTATGGTAAATGCTGTGAAAGTAAAACAAACCAAAGCAGATTTCAGGAATAGTATTAGTCTTCCTACCATTCTTGGTTCCACTCCCCATCACACTCAATACATTGTTTTCTGGCTCAGTATTCACCGGTCTTGAAATGCTTAAAGATAAAAAGATCAAGAGTCTTGTTCAAAAGAGGAAAATATTGTTGGATATTGCCATCTAGAATAAACCACCTGAAATGTTTTATTCTAACTGAGGACTTCTAAACCATTCTGTCAGAACCATTCCCTACAGCCTAGCTCTAGGAAAAAGAGAAAGTCAGACCTTAATTAACATTATGGAACATCCTAAGAATTAGTGAAATCAATTTTTTTGTTGAGATTAATTGGTATAATATTTGTTATGCATCATATCTGATAATAAGAGTCTAGCGAGAAAATCAGAATATCACCAAATAATTGAACTTAGCTTTAATCATTATATAGATGAATTATAAAATACCTGGCCAATTCTAGCTGCAGTATTCTTTATGCAATTTTGAATGATTATTTTCAAATTAAACCATAAGGTTTTTCCAAATAACGTACTGGATTGTATGTTCTTGCAATATCAGGAGAGAAGCTTACAGCATCTTGGCTGAACTTGAAAAAGCTAAGCAAAGTTGAACCTAGTCATACTGAAATGGGAAACAACATTTGTCTGTAGTCTAGCTTGAGAAGTAAGAAAGAAAGACATTTCAAACTGTAAACTGTTGCTATATTTTATCTTTTAGTCAATAGGAAATTGAATGAGTCTTTGCCATTATATAATAGGGAGAAGATTTTTAGGACAAAACATACGTTAATTTAGGTTTTTGTAAGCTATATAATCTCTAAATTCACTGCAATTTATGTGTTTCTTTAATAGGTCCAGTATCAAAAGTGCTTAGTGGCATCACAAATGAGAAGAAAAAGTAATTCACACTCCATTATGAAGCTGAAAAGGACAATGTCGCTCGATTCACCCGTTTGTTCATTTCCCATCACAGGACCCTCCTTGCAGAAAACAAGCAGTGGGGCCACAACATGCAAGAGGGGAATGTTTTCTTTCTTTGAAACCTTCCGCCAAAAACATTCCACGCTACACACTTCCTAAGATGAAAACAAAGTTTGGTGGTCCCAGATGACCCTTAATGGCACTGCCCTCTGATGTCCAGGCTAAGAATGTAACTAGCATAATTTTGTTTGTGAACCTCCTTCACTGAAGTGAAAAAACCAATACAGCCAAAACAAAACTGGATCCTAAAGAAGGATCCTGACAGATTCTGGACATGCTATGCATATTTCTTCCAGTTCTTTGCTACATAGAAATTCTGAGGGAGAGGCAAGCTTGTGGGGGGTGGGGAGGGGGAGGGGGGGCAGGGGAGAAGCAATGCTGCACAAAACCATTTGAAGGTGTTGCTTGCTATTCAGGGCAAGCAACATCACCATCACTGCGTAAACTTAAAGTCTTGCTCCAATTGCCCAGGGATTGATAGGTCTGAGCAAAGCAGCCAATTCATCTTCATTCAGTAACAACACATTTTTTATGATTGAAACTGTGGACGTTAACATGGTTCCTTTCCTAGCTGTAGTTTGAACTTGGAATGTGATACTGGAAAAAAAGGCTCAAGAGAAGAAAAGTAACTGCTGATTCTCTAGGTACATGTTTGGATTAGTGTAAGCTCGTGATCTGTGAGGCAGAAATAGAAATGATGTTATTCCTGGAAAACTAATAAATAATTGACATCAATATTCTCCAAGCTAATGCCACGCAAATGTGTTTGGACCACAAATCTCAATATTTTCATCCAATTTTCATATCAGTCTATGCATACTTCTCACTGTACTAGTTTGTATAGTTTCCCCGTCTGAATATTTTTTTTTAATTTGGTAAAATCTGTATTCATCTTTTAACATTTGAACATCATCAGTAAATAGCGTTGCCAGTCATGCAACACTGAAACAAGCACCTGGCCATAATAAGCAGATCAAATGGTGCACATAATCCCAGTGCTTTCTAACGAAATGTTTGTAAGCAAACTATGCATGCATAGTGCTTGCATACAGGACTGTTGTTTATAACATGGCCATTCTACCAGTCTGACACTTGAATTAGAAGCATCATCTAGACTCAGACCATCATTCGATGAGCCAATGTTGGTGATTCAAATAATAGGGAAGATTTCTTTTTCAAAAGATGTAATATTAAATGCCTGTGGCACTAGCATTGTGAAAATTACTACTAGATCAGAGATCCCCAACCTTTCCAGTTTGGCGGCCTGGAGGGAAAGGGAAGAGCAGGGAAATGTGCATGCGCATGAACACAAGGGTAGATGGGCACACATACGGTGGTGACGCTAGCACCCGTGCACATGTGCAAGTGGGCTGTGTGCATGCATGAATAGGCTGTGCATGTGCAAGTGGGCCATGTGCACTTACAGTGGTGCTGGCGGTGGTGCGAGCACCTGCGCACCTGTGCAAGTGGGCTGCTAGCGGTTGTGCACATGTGCAAATGGGGCACTAGTGCCCACACGCATGCGCAAACGGGTCACTAGCAGTCCCGTGCATGTGCAAACAGGGCCGCTAGTGCCCATGCGGCAGCAGCAGTGCCAGCGTGAGTGGGAGATGTGCGCAAGTCGCCAGCCATTCCCTCGCCCTGATGGCCAACAGGCTGCGGCCCAGTAGCGGGCCGTGGACCACAGGTTGGATGGGATCTATACAATGGATAGATGAGATTGGTAGGAAGAAGGATGGATCACCAAATGCATTACATTTTATGTTTCAGTTTCATTCTTGATATAATTCCTTTTCTTTCATTTAATAAGTACTCCTGGATGAAGATAGACTCAAGTCTACCTCAGTGATACTCTCTATCTATCTACATTGTGCAAATAAAGTACTAATATATATTAAAGTTATATTTGCTTTATGTTTGGTCTCTATCTCCTGACAATTCTACTGGTGCTCAAATGAGTGGCTGAATACATATAGCGTAAATGAATCAAGTTTTGCTGAGTTAGATCCAACACTTTTAGACAAATTATTAGAACTATATATAATGATACAAAACCTGTCCTTAATATTTCAGCCTTTAATAATGATTTCACGATTTTATTCAGGATAAATATTATGCCAACAGACATATCAGTTCCCTTAGTTCTTACCTTAGTTCCCTCCTGAGAGGCATGTGTCACTATTTACAGATAACCCAAGGAAACATCACTTTTAAAGAGCAATAATTTTATTACTGATGTGTAACAAATAAATAACCTAGCAACTGACATCTTTGTCATCCAAAAGGTAGAAGAGGGAATTAGAGGGACAGCTACACTGGACCCAATTCTTACTAAGAGAGCAGAAATGATAGAGGGGGTTGAAGTTGCAGGAACTTTGTGGGAGAGTAACCATGTATATCATTCAGTATACTGCAGACACAAGCAGTAGAACATAATCAAATCAGTGTCTCAGACTTTAAAAGAGCTGATTATAATAAACTTATAGAGAGCTTGGAAAGAATTCCATGGATGAAAATGTTAAAGGAGAAAACAACTAAGAAGCTTGGGAAACTCTGAAAAATATGAATATAAAGCCCAGTCCAGCACAATACCACTGAAAAAGAAAAATAAGAAATCCGACAAGAAACCAGCATGGTTGCACAAAGATCTCCCTGATAAATTGAAAGATAAAAATGATAAATGTAAAAAATGGAAAGAGGGACACATAACTAAGGCAGAATACCTGCAAAGATGAAGTCAGGAAAGCTAAGACTCAGAATGAACTAAGACTTGCAACAAATGTCAAAAATAATAATAAAAAAGTTTCTTTTAACATATAAAAAACAAGAAAATAGTCAAAGAAACAATTAGTCCAACAATGGGGAAAGATAGCAAGGAAGAGATGGGCAGCAGGGAAAAAGCAGAGCTGCTTAATTCTTCCTTTGCATCTGTCTTCACACAAAAAGAAAATATACCCCAACCTACCAAAGAGAGAACCATAAAAGACAGACTAGGAATTCAAATTAAAATAGGGAAGAAAATGGTAAGAAAAGGGGAAAAAAAACAGATCCAGGAAACTACAGACCAATCAGTCTGGAAGATCCTATAAAAGATAATCAAGCAACAGGCCTGCAAACACCCGGAAGCAAGCAAAGTTATAACTAGAAGCCAACACGGGTTTGTAAAAAACAGATCATGCCAAACCAATCTTATTTCATTCTTTAACCAAGTGACTAAATTAGTGGACCAGCGAAATGTTGTGGACATAGTATACTTGGATTTCAGTAAGGCATTTGACAAGTAAACCACAGCCTACTTCTTGGTAAGCTAGAAAAATGTGGGTTAGACAGCATCACTACCAGATGGATTTGTAACTGGCTGACAAACCACACTCAGCATGTAGTCCTTAATGGAACTATGTCTACATGGAGGGAATTAAGCACTGGGGTACCCCAAGGTTCAGTTTTAGGCCCAGTACTCTTCTAATATCTTCATAAATGATTTAGGTGAGGGGATAGGAGGGGAATTCATCAAATTTGCAAACACCAAGCTGGCAGGAATAGCCAACACCTCAGAAGATAGGCTCTAGATGGATCTCAACAGACTTGAACACTGGGCCCTATCTAACCAAATGAAATTTAATAGTGATAAAAGTAAGGTTTTACATGTTGCCAAAAAAACCCAAATGTACAGATACAGATTAGGTGAAATCTGGCTCAATAGCAGTAACTGCAAGAGGTTAGCGTTAGGGTTAGTTCTAGTGGATAATCACTTAAATATGAGCCAGCAGTTTGCTGCAGCTGCCAAAAAAGCCAATGCAATCCTAGGCTGTATTAACAGAAGAATAGAATCAAGATGAAGTGAAGTGTTAGTACTGTTTTATAAGGCCTTGGTAAGACCACATTTGGAATACTGCGTACAGTTTAGGTCATCACAATATAAAAAAAGATGTTGAGACTCTGAAAAGAGTCCACAGAAGAGGGGGTTGGAGACTAAAACATATGAAGAACAGTTGCAAAAATTGTGTATTAGTCTAATGAAAAGAAGGGCTAGGGTGACATGATAACAGTGTTCCAATGTTTGAGGAACGGTCACAAAGAAGAGTAGGTCAATCTATTTTCCAAAGCACAAGAATGCAAGATAGGACAAGAAGCAATGAATGAAAAGTCACCAAGGAGGGAAGCAACCTGTCAGCCTGATCATCTTCAAGCTTGCTGCTAGCTGCCATGGAAATGGAGGGAGGGGGAAACAACAGGTATTTGGGAGGAGAAGCATGCAGGAGTAAAACTGAAATTTCTGAGAAGCGATGGGGAGGCCTGGACTCAGAGATGCCAGCTTGCGTTGTTTAACATTTTAAAGGCCAACCATCCTGGGGTTGGCATGCACAAAGGAGGATCGATGCACCTAGACCAGAGATGTTCCCAAAACACCTTCTTGGCTGATGGTTGAACTCTGGTTGCCTGGCTATTGGGAGGGGCTGTGGGGTTAGTTTCAATTTATCTCTTTGTGAGTGTTTTGCTTTAGATCTTGTCTGATTTTTGCTGCAATCAGTTCTTTCCTAGTAAAAGTACTTTTTCTCTGAATCTGTGGAATCAAGGGTTGTCTTTCCTAGGGACTGATTGGAGGCAGCCCTGATACAACCTAGAACTAAGGAGAAATTTCTTGACAGAACAATAAACCAGTGGAATGGCTTGCCTTCAGAAGTTGCAGGTGCACCATTACTGGAGGCTTATTAAAAACAGACAGTCATTTTTCTGAAATAGTATAGGATCTCCTGCTTGAGCAGAGGGCTGGGCTAGAAGATCTCTATTATCCCTTCCTATTCTATTCTGTTCTGTTCCGTTCTATTAATTCACTTTTAAAATGTGATGTAATACTAATATTTTAAATATTAAATATAATAGGTATAAACATTACAGAAAGACATTACAGAGGGTGGTGAGCACAGCACAAAACATCGTGGGCTGTCCCCTGATACCACTAGACGCCATCACCAGGGCCCGCTGCCTTAGAAGAGTTAGGAGCTGCTGCCTCCTGTCCTGCTCCCCCACTCTGCCCGTTCGGCTGAGGATGTGGCGGCCAGGCTGGGGGCGGCAAGGAACCCCCAACGATGCTGCTGTGCTACCGCCACCACCTCCTGTCCTGCTCCCCCTCCTGTTTGGCTGAGGACGTGGTGGCTGGGCCGGGGGCGGTGGCGAGGAACCCCAACGATGCTGCCATGCCGCCACCGCTGCCTCCTGTCCTGCTCCCCCTTTCCACCCGTTCGGCTGGGGACGTGGCAGCCAGGCTGGGGGTGGCGGCGAGGAACCCCAACGATGCTGCCGTACTGCTGCTGTTGCCACCAGAGCCGCTGCCTCCCATCCTGCTCCCCCCTCCCCGCTGGAAGGGATCTTGGAGATCTTCTGGTCCAGCCCCCTGCTCAAGCAGGAGAACCTATACCATCTCAGACAAGTGACTGTCCATTCTCATCTTAAAAACCTCCAGTGATGGAGCATCCACGATTTCTGGAGACAAGCTGTTCCACTGGTTAATTGTCCTCACTGTTAGGAAGTTTCTCCTTAATTCCGGGTTGCTTCTCTCTTTAATCAGTTTCCAACCATTGTTTCTTGTCCTGCCCTCTGGTGCTTTGGAGAATAATTTGACCCCCTCTTCTTTGGGGCAGCCCCTTAAATACTGGAATACTGCTATTATGTCACCCCTATTTCTTCTTTTCTTTAGACCAGCCAAACCCAAGTCCTGCAGCCGTTCTTCGTATGTTTTTCTTCATATGCTCTCCTTTTGGGGAGTCACTGCAGGGACCCTTTTCTGCTGCTTTCCCTTTGCATTAATTCTTAATCTTGTGCCAATGTTAAGTATGGTTGTCACCCTACCATCATCATACTTATTTGGCACAAAGCGGGGATTTGTAACGCTGGGCTGCTTACAATGCTTATGTAACAATGTAACAAATTCTTATTTGTTTTACTGTTGATATCAAGTTCTGCATTTTACAAGAAAAACGGATCGAAATGGATGAAAGCATTTTCTCGGTCCGTCTTTTCCTCCAAAAACGGTCCTCGCCCCTCAAAGGATCGTGTGCGACCTTCAAGCACGGAAGGGCCACCTTACCCGGAATGCCCCATTCCAGACATATCTACCGTCACGGAGCGCCAGTGTCCTCCGAGTCGGATGGCAGGGCCACGCCCCCTCTCCTCCTCCGTGAACCCCGCCCAGAGTCTGACAGGGCGGCACGTCACCGCGGACGACGGGAAATGGCCTGTGGGAGACCCGTTCGCCGGTTCAGGCAAGCGCGCCGGGCGGAAGTGCGGTGATGGCGGAGTTCTATGTCAAGCCCGGTGAGCTGCGTGGCGGAGAAAAGGTGGCGTGTGTGCTTGTTGCGTGAGGCTGGCGGCTGATCGTCGGTTTCTTTTGCAGGGAACCAGCAGCGCGGCTGGAACGACCCCCCGCAGTTCTCCTACGGCCTGCAGCAGCGTCCGGCTCTTTCCAGCGGCTTGACCCAGCGGGGTCCCTTCCGGAGAAGAGTGGCGGCGGCAACAGAAGGAAAGGAGCCCGAAGCGGCGCCGCACCCCCCCGTTGCCTCTAGCCCAGGTTGGGAACGGTTTGAAAATCTGTAAAAATACTGCGCTATTATATTGTATTATTTTGTTTTATTTTTTATTTTTTAATTACGGTGTATATATACATATATATTATTTTATTACATATATACACACACACACATATGCATATACATACACACATACACACACACACACACACACACACACACACACACACACACACACACACACACACATATATTGGAAACCTAAGTCATTGCAACTCCATGAATGTGTTCATATAGCAGTGCCTCTTCTGAGATTATTTTCTTATTTCCTAATCTAATCTACAGCCCTGATGTTTCCATTCCAATGTATTTATGTGCAGTTCGCAAGAATAGCCAAAATTGGGGTAACTGATCCTAAGGGGCTAGTATTTCCAAAGCAACTGTACTTAATTTATCTGCCAGATTTTTAATTTAAGGCCCAATTTTATCTCTTTGCACTAAAATGGATTAATGCTGTACACATCTTTCTCTTAACACGATCTGCGTCTACTCTCTCAGTTGGACTGCTTGTCCCACAGTCTGTGAACCTGCCTCCTCCTGGACCACAAGCCTCTTTTCAGAAAGCAGATGCCACAACTCCATCTGTTGTAAAGGCTGACAAGGAATATGAAATAGAGGATGTACTTTCTTCCTTGCATGAGACTCTGAACAACTGTAGGAGCTGTGTGCAGGTGAGAGAGCTACCAGCTTTTCCAGGATTTTACTATAAAATAAAATTGTAGCACTAAGATGTCTCTGTAACTGTTTTTAAAGCAGAGGTCCTCATGCCACCTCCATTTCATTCCCTGTCATTGGAGAGCTAACCTAAAGATGTCTCCAGTTGTTCTCCTATTCAAATAATGTTTTCCTTCTTCTTGTAGCCCAAAGTTTGCAATATCAATGATGATGCTGTGAGTTCATTTATATGACCTTAGAGGTTATATTGGAATATACTTCCAGAAAATTAGTAATTGCAGCACAACAGAGAGCCCTTTCTATCTATTGTTACATAAAAAGTAATCTATTTAATTATGGAATTGTCTATTTGGAATTTACAGGTTCTGGAATAATATGCTAGCAAGAAACAGGCCATTTTCTATATAGAAGTCTACTATCATGAGGAAAAGTAAAGTGTCAAGAAATGCTGTGGGAAGAAGTTCTGCCTTTCTGTGAAATGGATGTTTTTTGACTTGCTGCATGCATTCTGGCAGTCTTTTTTTTTTTTTTTTTTAAGTTCCACAACACTTTTACAAAATTCTAAAGAAACCCACATCTCCTCAAAACATGGGACAGCAGGTTTAAAATATGGCACACAATATGAGAATTTTTTTTTACCTCTTTACATTGTTTTAATTCAATTCTTGTCATAAAGTCTTTATAGATAAGCTTTAGGGACTGACTGTACATCAGGAGGATGCAGTGGAATTAGCTGAGAGGGTAAAAATGTATGTAGGCAAATGATTCCAGGGTTTGTTGATTTGGTCTGATCATAGCATTACTGAATGCTTTGCTTTTCCCGCATCTTAGGAAAGGACCACGAGAATGGCCTTCTGCTGTGGCTAGAATTTGTAAATATGATCCCTAAAATAGATACCTGATAATAAAAAATTGTTTCTGTTTTCAGAAACAGGTTTGTGATGATATCCATAAACGCTTGGTAATTCTGCAGGAAATGTGGACACAAGGCAAATTATCTTCCCCAGTAAGAAAAAGGATGGGAATTCTAACAGACGGTAAGGAATATGTCTATGGCTTGCTATATACAGTGGTGGTTTCTTTTTGTAATCTTCATCCTCAGCTGTGTTATATGCTAGAGGTAGCACAGTGTTTCCCAAACTTGACAATTTTAAGGCATGTGGACTTCAACTCTCAGAATTCCACAGCCAGCGTTGCTGGCTGTGGAATTCTGGGAGTTGAAGTCCTCATGCCTTAAAATTGTCAAGTTTGGGAAACACTGAGGTAGCAGAAATACTGCTTTGATAGAATTGGCAAAATTCCATCTGAGGGAACTCAGATACTTAAACCAAAGCAGTTGTCTTAGCAGTGTGTAATGCTGCTAGAGAGTAGTTGACTAGGACCATTTTTCCTATTGTATTTTTAGCCACTCTTTGATTATTGTGGAAGCAGAACCTGCCTCAGGTTCTCTTTGGGGTTTTAGAGAGAATTTGGGGTTGTCCCTCAAGCTCTATGACTAACAGCTTTTCACTATTTGGAATTGAAGGGTAACAGTACAATTGGATAAGAGCCTTAGTAAGCCTTTTGGTGGCCAAAAGAGTAGGGAAATGTCACTATTTTTTTCTACTCTTATTCGGTCTCCTCAATTACTGTTAAGGGATCCTGTTTTAGTTGACCTAATCCTTTTGGGGGAGAGAGTGGCCAGGAAACACCTGCAGGGCGGGTATAAGAACTTGAGGGAATTGGCTGATCTTATCTAGTTATTTGGGAGGCATTTGAGCCAATTGATCTTTATGGTTATATTTTATAGATTGGAAGTAACTGTATAAGATTGGGGATGCTTTCTAATTTTTTTCAGAACTCAAGAGTCAGCATTGGGATGTAGCTGATGAGATTCATCGCTCCCTAATGGTAGACCATGTTGCTGAAGTAAGCCAATGGATGGTGGGAGTCAAAAGGCTTATTGCTGAAACAAAGAATTTGCCTGGAGAAGATCCACTGCCGTAGAACATAAGCAAAGAGTCAACCTGTTTGGATCTGAATGCTTATAAGATTTGCCTGACCCCAGGAACTAGCCAATATGAAAATGGACCCTGTCTGAAAGGCAACCTGGTCCAGGGAGATTTGATTTCCTAACCATTAGAGGAATAATTTTATTTCCTTAACAGCTGTCTAATTAAAATTGCATTTTCCAACTGGATCATATAATGAGAATTTTTCTGATGAATTAAAAAAAACTTTTTGAAGAAGATGACAAGTTAAAAATAGCAATTTTGCAGATACTTTTAAATTGTATAGTGAATCCTAAGTGCCATACTGGTATTACATTTAAAGAGTTGTTAATATAGCTACTATAAAGTCTTCCTGTTTATTTTTTCTTGATAAGTGTGTTCCACGTTTGCCTGCAGAATTCACTCCATCTCTGTTCTCTTAAGTGTGCCTATTGTACAAAAGCTGTTTTCTGTTCTTGAGCAGGGCTCAGTACTAAAGATTACTAAAATCAGGAACAGATGTTAAAATAAATTTTAGAAAATTCTTTTATTGCAAGACTTGATTCCTATTTGTTTTAAATCAGGGGTGTCAAACTGCCGGCCCGCGGGCCGGACGCGTCACGAGGAAACTGCACCCTCCCCCTTGCCGGCAATGGGGAAGAAGTTCCGATAAGTCACGTGACTTCGCGAGTTTGACATGTCTGTTTTAAATGGTTGTATTAAAACTGTATTTTTCATTTTATTCTTCATTTAACTGGTTGCCTCTGATATCTTTTCTTTTGTAGCTGATAGACAGGAACAGGAATAATTGCTGTTTGCCCTATGTTTCTTGTTTAAAACATTAGAAACAAAATCCTGAAATAATTTTTACTATTTTATAAAATATCTGGAAACAGGTTTAAATGGCAGCAAAGAAATTCATGAAAAAAGTTTAGTAAACCTGAGTAATTTCCCTGCATAGAACAGTGCGTGGGGCTTGATGGCCTCGTTGCTACTTGCATTCTATGGGGCTTCTTAATGGAGGGATGCTGTTGACAGCTTTTTGCTCTGCCAGCATTCAACATTTTTGAAATTGTGATTTTTCCTGAATTTGGCATGTAGTTTTTAATATATGGATAAAATAGTAGCATGTATCAATGTTTGTTACACTATGAAAGTTTCAGAGAAGTTAGTGTGCTTGGGTGTACGTGTGTATGTCTTGCATTTGTGATCAAGATAATTTCTAATTAGGCCATGTCATTGGAATTCTGAAAAGCTAGTTTCTGTTTGGGTTGTCATGGTGAATTTGTAATTGATCTGATTCAAAGAAGTTGCAAAGGAGGTAGCTTTTATTGGTCTTTTTTGAAACACCCTCCTTCCTGGAGTTGGTTAATTAATGAGGTTTTTTTTTTTAATTTTTTGGTGTATCGTAAAGTTGGAAACTTGATTCCTTTTAACCTTCAGATTCTTTCTTCTTGTTCAGTTTGTTCCAATATTTCTTTTCAGTCATGCGTAGACTGTGTGTCTGTAAATGTAATTTTATGCCCATTATTTATCAGTAAATGTATGGCTACTGTTGGTTTTTCTTGTACTAGCCAGTAGTATCTTTCGTGTTCTTTGTAGCCAAGTGTTAATACTATGTTTTGTAGTTCAAATATATATCTGCAGTTGGAAGGTATATGATAAATTTGTAATAATGAAAATGGATTTCTGCCATCCTTAGATGATTGAATAATTTCTTGGATTCTTCTTGATTTATAGATACATTTTTCAGTTATGCTTCTCTAGTAATACTCCAGTCTTGGCCTCCATTGGCTTGTCTCAAGTAATCTGTGCTCAGCGACTTTCATGCAGTTATATACGGTACTCATGCTTGTCTAGGAGTTATAGTGCCTTTCATTATCTAGTCCAGTGGTTCTCAACCTTTCTAATGCCGTGACCCCATAATACAATTCCCCATGTTGTGGTGACCCCCAAGTGGGTGTGGCCACCAATAAGAGGGAGTAGGACAGCTAGGGAAAAGGGAAAAAAATGGCGGACAGTGTGGTTTGGCGACCCCCGTGAAATGGTCATTCGACCCCAAATGGGGTCCCGACCCACAGGTTGAGAACCACTGATCTAGTCAGTTACTGTGGTCATATTACTTCTTGATCTAATTAACTGCTACCTGAGACCTCTGCACGATTCAGTTGTTAGGTGAGTTGTTAGGTGAGATAGATCTGTTATATCCAGAGGGCACTTGGGGATTTTTCTAAACACCTGATAAGCAGTTTTCTCAAGGACATCGTAAACCCTTGGCAACAGAAAGTGATTCAAACCCCTGGCAGAATTGCCTCCATGTGGCTTCTTTGATTCCTGGGTATCCTTCACTTAATGACATCCCAGGGTACTGAAAGAGCTGCCAATGGAACCACTGAACAAAACTTTTCAGAGCTCCTGTAGCATGGGGAAACTGCCAGAGGTCTGGACAAGAGCTGATGTAGTTCCAAGTCTTCAAGAAGGGGTAAAACGTGGATCCAGGAAACTAGATCCAATTAGCCTGATATCAATACCTGGAAAAATCCTGGAAAAGATAATCAAGCAGATTTGTGAGCATCTAGAAATGAACAAAGCAATCACTAGAACCTAGCATAAGTTTGTTAAAAACCGATCATGCCAGACAAACTAATTTGGGGTCCTTATTTTCCAAAGCACCTCAAGGAATGACAAGAGTTAATTGATGGAAATTCCTTAAAGGGAGATCCAATTTAGAACTAGGGAGAAATTTACTGACAGCGGGAACAATTAACCATGGAACCAATTGCTTCCTGGAGTTGTGTGTGCACTGTTGCTGGAGATTTTCAAGAAAAAGAGTGACAGCCATTTGCCCAGGATGGAATAAAGACACCTGGTTTGGCCAGGCAATTGGACTAGAACAGGGGTCCCCAACCCCCAGTCAGTGGAACCAACAACAGTACCAAACATGAAGTTGAGCAATGGCAATTTATGCTCCTCTTTTTGCTTTTTAGAATCTTTTGTTTCAGGCTTGGAATTCTCCCTTTTCTTGTTAGCTTATTCCCATTCCAGGGAAATCATCATGGGGTTGCTGGGAACTGGCAGTACATTCAGGATCCCACTATGGCCATTCAAGGAGAATGCCAGTTAGGGAAGGCAGTTTGTTGCCTCGGTTGAGGTACTTGTGAAATGGTCGTTGCAGAATGGGTGAAGCCAATCTTTAGCTACGGCTTGTCATGTAAGGTAACCTTACTGATGCAACTTACTTTCCATGCTGACCCTTACGCATGCTGTTTCGAACTGTTATATTGTTGTTCTAATATATATGTTAGCTTTTTATCACCTCATTCTACCTTGCTCAATCTATTATTCCCTTGCTCATATTTGAAAGACAGAACTTCTGTTGATGCAGGAATTCAAATTAAATTCACTGACAGATGGCTTTCCAGCTTTTGCTTAAATAGCTGAATTGTACCTAGCATCCCCATAATTGTCTCCACTATCAAAGATAGTTGATTGGCAACAGCTCTGTACTGTTTCCAGTTATTGTAGAGCTATGAGTGTACCTTCTGCTCTCAGATCAGCCTAGATACTGATGTCGGATTGATTAGTCTGAAATTACCTGGGTTTTTTTTTTTTGGTGATGTTAAAGACATTTACTGTCCTCAGTCAGCTGGCATGTCACTCATTCACAAACTCTTAGCGTTAGTTCACATACAGAAAAGCCCGTGACTTTTTTTAAAAAAATGATTTAATAGTGGCTGTAGCAGCACTACTATTACTACACCACAGTGACGCGCATTGGTTTTCCTCTCCAGGTCTCCAGGGTTCACTATAACCATTTTTTAAATCAGTCCTCTTGTGCCAGCACTTGTTTATCCAATTAACGTGGTACATTATTGGGACAATCACAATTTCCTCTGCTGATACCTCATGAAACATGCAGGTCCTTGGTTCTTCTATAAGCTGTTACTTGCTTATAGATATTTTCTGTGGTTTCTGATTTTAGTTCAGTTTCAGTTTTCCTTCATGATTCACAGGAGATATATATCTATTTAATTCACATATGATGGATATTCATTGTGAATGCAGATATTGTAATGTAGTTTTTAGGATCTGATATAGTTCCTAGGTGACAAGTGAGACACATAGGCAAAAAGTTAGGTTAGAAAATGATTTTTAAAGGATCCAAATTTTAAATTGTTTTAAGTCTTTAAATATCTTTAAGCAGCATCAGCAGTCTGGGTGCACTATTTTCACCAATTGTACATAGGCCATGTTACTATAATTTCACCTGAGGTAATTAGAAAATCAATAATGTTCAGAAATTGTTTTATCACGATACTCCTTGCAACATATTATCACTTGCATCTCCAAGAAGAATGCTCAAAAATAGCGTATCTAATTCCCAAATCAAGCAATATTACCACCAACAATACTTTTATTCTACAAGAATTAAATTTTAGTTTGTTTTGCCCATCTAGTCTCTTTACAGCTGTGAGATAGTGATTTAGTTCTATCATGAATGAATGAACCCCGTTCAGTATAAGTATTATAAACCCCCATGATTTATGGTTCTGAATGAAGCAGTGAGGTCCAGAATTGACAGAGCTATACTTTCTCCAAGTACAATTAATTCATTAGGGCAATCAAAGCACTTTTTATCTCCAAGCTGCTTTTATGGATAAAAAACCTACTATTTCTGAATTAAAAACTAAGGAAGAGATCCTTATTTATAATTTTGCCCCTTAGCATAGAAAATTTTCTAATTTTTACTGCAGTACAACAATCATCTAATGACCTTGGACTATCTTCTGGCTTAAGCACCATTATTTTGAAATTAAAATTTATTTATTTATTTATTTATGAGACTTATATACCGCTTTAAGTGCAAGCACTCTCTAAGCGGTGTACACCAGTAAGCAATGTATATATATATTTACATTGCCCAACAATCTGGGTCCTCATTTTACCTACCTCGGAAGGATGGAAGGCTGAGTCAACCTTGAGCCGGTGAGATTTGAACCGCCGACCTGCTGAACACAGTCAGCTAAAGTGGCCTGCAGTACTGCACTGCTAATTCTCAGCAGCTCTAAACAGCATGGCCAATGGGGAACAATAAAGGATCCTAGAGTCAAAGACATGTTGTTGGCCATTCTTATTCTGCAGGTATGAATGCACAGAAGACTGCAGTTTCTCCTGCCTGGACTACTGCTGAAGTTACCCTTTGTTACTTATTCCATTTTTTTGCATGTGCATGCCCTGACAACCTGGGAAAAACTTCAAGGTGGCTACATGGAATTTCAGAAGGACATAGCCCCCATAATAGTTTGACTGTGGCATTGTCATGATTAAAAAAGATTCTAATCAAAAAATTTGCAGTCACACCCCCACAGATTTTTTTGAACTGTGAATGGCAATGATGTATAGAAGATACTGTTGCACAGATTATACTGCCAGTTCAGATTAAAGTTTAGATTGACTTTGTTTTCCTGTGCAGGATCAGATGCTTTAGATGTGCCTATCTTTTAAATTGTGTTGAGTACAACAATGTTTTTTTTATTATCGTACTCTCAAAATCTAACAGTATGGCTGTTTTTGCCATGGCAGTCTTGCAGCTACATGGAATTCACTGTAAAGTGGATTGTATCATGTCTGTATAAACACTGAAATGGTCTACATGTAATAAAACTGGTTGAGCTTTTTTAAAAGATGAGTATAAGAAATATTTTTAAATTATTTTACTTCATTTCAAAGGCACCTTAATCTGAAATATTTCAATGTTCTGAGCACCTGTTTCATACATCTTTTCCTGTTGAATATAACGTTTTCATCAGAATTATGCTACTGAACACAGGGACTTCTGCATATATTTCACTCAGTTCAATCTGATGGCCCCATTTAACAAGATCCAATAATTGTAAATAGAATTAACAGTGATGAATTGAGGAAAGCTTTTAAGAAATTTGCAAATATTATATTGACTTATCCAGGCAAAAAAGTAAAATGTTTTAATTCTCAGATTCAAATGCAACATCACTGGGCAGTAGCATTAAATCAATATATTATTAAGATTAGTACACAAAATCTTGTAATGTTCATCTTTTTATTGAATATTCAGGTAAATATTTCACATTAATACAGGCTACATAAAGTAGAGCCACTATACGACATGAAATTTACTCAACATTTTTCCTTTTAAGTATGTAAACAATTATACATGTATTTACCACCCTAAAAGGTTGAAATCATGTAATCATCTAGTTCTCTGTTGCATACAAGTAGCATTCAGTAGTGTTTAGCCAAAAGCACTAGCTTTATCCGATTTGAGTTCAAAATGGCTAAACTAACTGGAGAACAGAATCAGCTGAATAGGTAACTCATTTTGTTCTTATAACAATGGGCTAACAAGTTCCTTGTAACAGCCCACAGTGGAAAAAATAGTTTAGTTAGGCACATTAAAAAAAATCCCAAGTTCTTCCAAGGTCAGAGACTTCTCCAAACAAAGTTTTAAAAAAAGTAAAAGAAAAGGAAATATAGGCCCTCCTAGATTAGTTGACATATTTGAGGTGCATGTTTCCAATGTGAGGTGCCCAGGTACCAGGCCAAATCTACAATGGGAAAACAACATAAAACGGTATTAATTTCATGGAGTACTTGGAACAACACAGCAAAGATCTAAAGAAAATTACATTTAGAAGATCCCAAA